TTATTTTATACAATTATAATGTTTTTGTATTAAGAGTACTTTATCTTAAAAAAATATTTATTATAATTCAATTTAAGGTGAGATATGTGGTTAATGTGCTAATGGTAGTTAATTAGGATTATATGATTTTTTGTAGAAATTAAAAAATGTAAGGGTAAAATAGGAAAATAGAAATTACACTATGGTCATAGTTATTTCATGTTTTGGTTTTATATATATTATAGAAATATTTATTATTTTCCTTTAAAATCAAACATGACTTATACCATTGGTTTTTTTACATGATCTAATAACTTCCTGGGTTTTGACGTTCTTTATCTGATAACCTCGTGGGTTTTGAGTTTTGACATTGGAGAATGCATATACTTACTATGCGGTCGTAAAAAAATTTATACAATCATTTATCATTCATTTGAATTAATATTTTTTTGAATAGTTAATAATTATTAAATAAAAATGGTAGAAGATACAATGACAGTATATAGAAATCATACACTATTAACATATATTTTTTTTGTAATAATCATATTATATACACAAATAATTATTATGTAGATAACAAAATATATATATATATATATATATATATATATATATGATAAATTCACTATAATTCAATCATTACAATTTATATCAATTAAAAAATAATTTTATAAACATGTCACATTCATAAGCTATTATTTAAATTAAGTGCAAATGTTAAATTAGGATACTTAGTTTAGTGTATGGTTGAATTTTTATAGAACTTCGCCAAATTTAATTCATTTTTGTGTGTGAAGGATGGTGGTATTGCTAACAAAGGTTACATGTAATATAATGTAATCTATAACCAGTCGCCGAGATTCATGATATGAAGATATATTTTATATTTATGATTTTTTTTTGTACATATTTTAGAACATTACTATTTTTTATATTTTTAAATATTACCCTATCAATAAGTCGCATGTTTTTCTGTCTTGATTATATTGTAAACATAATGTTACATGTAAGCAAGTAAGAAATATTATATAGCACGGAAACGCAAGAGTCAAATAGTTATTATCCTAAGGACGTGGAAAGTTGAACCTTTGTTTTGGAGGAGAGCTTTGAGGATAAAATACAACTGTAAAATAATTTTAAAGTTTTACATTTCTTTTCATTCTCATACAAAATTAAACTTGCAAATGAATTCTTAGAGTTTGTCCCTATACAATTCTATGAAAGGAGAGGTGTTACATCTCTTTACCCCCATGTGCTCTACCATTAAGGATGTAAGCAATTAAGGTTTAAACTGGTCAAACCGGACCGAACTAAGTGGTTTGTTTTTGTTTCTCGGTTCAATTCGATTATTTTTTAAGGAACCATTTATGTTCAGTTTGGATCATAATTTTAGAAATATAGGAATCGTTGGAACCGAACCATATATTAAATAAATAGATAATAGGAAATAATATAGTATTGTTGCTTGAACCCTTCAACAAATTTTGTGACGTAAATCATTAATTTTGTGACTTAAATTATCAATTTTGTGACGTAAGTTATCAATTTTGTGACTTATATTATCAATTTTATGTTATATGTGTTACTATTTACTAAATATGTGATAATTTCTCAATGTGATGATGATTTGTAACATATCTTCTAACTTTCATGGTACTATATTTAAAACTAACCTATACCATAAATTATTATACACATATTGTTATATATGTTACTAGTTGAAATATATATTACTAAATTGTTATGTATATTACTAATCGATAATTGTATTGTTACTAATAAATATATAATGATACTAATTGTGAATTATATTATTGTATATGTGGTCTTTTTTTTCTTCCTAAACTATATAATTGTTATATATGTTACTAAAAATCAATCAAGAGTTTCAACTCTTTTGCTATAATAACAATAGTAATAATAATTTTTCTTTTACAGAGAGAACCAATCCATTTATGAGTGGTTCAATTCAATTTAGTTCTTTCAATAAAATTTACTTTTAATTAAGGTGAATCAAAACATATATCTTTAAGTTCACCCGTATATAGAGCTGGTCCAATCGTTTTGAAATATTTTTATTTTATTCCCATCCGTTGTTTCCGTCCATGTTTCCAACTGCTTTTGAATATTTTTATTTTATTCTCATGCACTTTATTATATAGGAGTTTGGATCTGACATGTTAGTTTATTTTAAAAAAATTCAAAATTTAGGTCCTACCTGTTTCAAAACTTGGTCTGAACCATACTTTTGAAAACCGTGCCGTACCGGCCGGTTCAACCGGAAAACCGGTGAACCGGACCCCTAACCGGTACGGTACGTATGTTATACCGCATATGCAATAGAACCGGTCAAAACCGGTTGGTTTGTACATTATTTTTTTTTATTTTTAATTTCAAATTTTCAATTCTTCACCAATTCTTCAACTTCAATGATTGATACTTGGGTCATTTATTTGTATTTTGCGTTTGTTAAGTGATAATTTTGGATAAATATATGTTTTGTACTTTACACTTTGATTTTATTAAAGACTTAATTTTGTTTGTTTGTGTGAATTTGAAGTAAATTATGAATATGGATTATAAATATGAATATCTACTTATTTGAAATTTTTTGTTATAGGTTTACATATATATATATATAAGCAAGTATGTCCGGTTTAACTGGCATGCAGTTTAATTACTGAACCACTGGTTGAACCACTGTACCACTATACCAGTACCCTAACCGGTTTGATAACCGGTACGGTTTTAATAACATTGGTCTGAACTATTAATATGTTTAAAAGTATAATATATTATATGGTCATGAAATAGGTCATCATGTCTACATTTAAATAAGATAATATGTATATTTTAACTAGATTTATATAACTCTAATAATTAAATTATATTTTTGTATACGTTTATATATTAAAAATATATACATATGTATATATATAATATTACTTATATTAAAATAATATAATACAAATTATTTTTTATATAATATGACTAAATAGGCTACATATTAGGTTTAATATGTCTTTTAGATAGCTTAAAATCTAACCTGTTAAGTTAAATAGATTTTTTTAAATATTTGGGTGTGATATGGTCACAAAAAATTCTAATCATGACTAGACTATTATAGGTCAAATAATAGAGTCATGATAAGATTTTAAAAATTCGATGTATTCACTATTTTTTATTTTCATTTGCAAGACGCAATTGAATGGCAACCACATGTATGGAGAAGGCGTGTATCAATTAAATGAAAGATAGAGAATAAAGGATAAGGATCAAATAATGACGATGGAGATATTTGTATTGCTTTTCAAGCTAAGCATGTATTTATGTACGGCATAAGTCGGGGACAAAATGAAGTAACATGACCCACTTCAGTGTATTGAAACTTGAAAGGACCGTGTCACTGTGTCAGCTTCAATATCTATTCTCAATCCATCTCATATCAGTTCGTTATATAACACAATCTTTCCAAGTATTATTTAAAATGACTTTCATTTTATTTAGATCTAATATATTATTTTATAATATAGTTACACTACTAGGGTATCTATACATTCATATTAGTGGTAATGTGTTTTGTATGAACAGTGCAAAGTAAATTTTAAGTTAAAAATTAGTGATTATTATCTTGTTGAAAATGATGTTTATATATTTGAAGGTGTACATCCTGTTATATTAAATAAAAAAGTTATTATAAACAAAATTGTAGAATACAATGTAAGATAAGTTGTATAACCCCTATTATAGATTGTGAAAACTTATTTATAAACTACCTTTGTTGTAGGTTTAGTGGTTGACCATCCTTATCATGTATCAACATATTGAATGAATATATTCTATACCAAAATTTCTTTATCTTTGTATACCAAGTCAATATAATCATGTCAACTAATAGTAATTATTGTTTCTTGATAGATGATAAAAAAATTATTAGCATAATTTTATTATTTGACATAATTTCATTGGCTTGATATAAAGAGATATGTAAATAGTGATATATAAGATTTTCACTCCAATATATTCAATCTTTCTTACTTTGAATTCATGAAATAGCTATATATAATTGACCATAATGAATACTAGTCTAGGTAAATATAAGCCCACAATTTCTAATGACTGTCCTTGAGATTTATTGTTACCTTAGAATCTATCAAAAACATTTCCAGATGTCCTCGCTTGGGGGTATTTGGACACATCAAATTTCAGTAATTCTAATTACAATCTTTCAAATGTGTTTTGAGTCATATAATTATGCTAGCTCATTCTATACTTATATAAATATAGATTTCATCTTTGATTTCAATTGCGAAGTATAAAATAGAATTATAGGTGAACTTTTAGAAAGCTGAAATGTGTATTTTTTCTTATGGAAGTTAAGAATTCTGTGAATGCATATTACTATACCAAGAGTTGAACACATATTCCTTCTATCTCCTCAACAACCATTGTGAAGTTTTCCTTTTAAAATGACTCTGAAGATTTTTTGCTAATTTCATAATAAACCAATACTTTAAAGATATTAGACTATTAGTTACCCAAACCCAAAATAGAAGTTTATAATGAGGAATTGTATGCTATATTCCCATGTGAGTATAGTTAGGTACTCATTTTCTTTTAATAAAATAATATCACTTTTCTAATTTAAAATATCGACAGAAGTTGATTTAATATCTACTTGCACAGATAAAGTCCTAGCTTATTATAAAATAACTATTATAATTAAAAATAATAAAAATATCTTCAAAAATTACACCATATTGTCTACTGATTCTAATTAACACGAAATAAAAAATCAAAGTTCAAGATTTGCTTTTTTAGGTGTTAACAATAGTTTTTATAAATTAATTCTTTTACTATACAATCTAAACAGACAGCTTTTTATACCAAGGCTTTTTATGTTTAATATAAAAGCTCTTAGCCAGTTTCAACTTTCAAGTTTTAACTCACAAGCTTAGGCCTTGGCGAACTGGTCTATGGTAGAAGCCAACCATTTATATGTTAACAAATTATATTTAAATATAAGAATTATGGAACTTTAGGGATTTTGGCCACACCCCCTCCTTCAAAAAAAGTTAATATTAATACACCAGCATTATAGAAAATTAAAGTTAAAATATTGCAACATCTTACCAGCTAAACTCTAGTTCAGAACAAATGAAGGTACCAAATGCAACATTCTCATAAAAACTCATAGGAAGAACCTCCTTCGGCTTGTGTCCATTTCCGGCTACAAGAGAAAGAACAAGTAGAAAAATGCTTCACAAACTCAGCCAGATCAGGAATTGAAAAGGAAAAATAGAATTGGTCAAAAAGTAAATTACCTTGTGAACCCACTCATATTCTCCACCCCTGGTATCAAATGTTCCATGCTGCAAGCTAGTTAACTTCAATGTGAAACGAGGGCCACATTCCTGCATTTTAAAAGTTAAATTGTAGCAGCAGAAGCAACTTATGAAGTCAGGAAAAAACAGACAATGCAAAACTTAAACAAATCAATGAATACTTAAATCCTCAAAGTAAAATGGATTTAACTTGACGGTAGATCCATCTTTAATGTAAGCATTTATATTTTTCGTGAAGACAACTTTAGTCTGTCATGACCCCATTTATAGTTAACCCTAGATGTAAATACAAATTAAATAACTAACAAGTCATATAAAAAACATTACTTACTAATCTTCATGAATCTCTCTTCCAGAATACCAATCTGATCAAATATCACCCTTAATCACCGAAGTCAATCATCTGAACCATCAGTTCTGTTTAAATAGTCACCTTCTCCTCTCTTCTCTCTCAATTTCTAACCCTAAAATGTGTTTTGGGTTTCTATTTTAAAGTGAAATCGTCGGGTTCTCACTCAAGCGAGCCCATTCTCGCTCAGGCGAGAAAATCCCGCATTTTTAAAATTTCAGATCTGACGCTCTAGCTCAAGCGAGGGATTTCTCGCTCAGGCGAGGCAGCTCTCGCTCAAGCGAGGATCTTACAGCCTCGACAGGTCCTGAATGCCACTTTTCTCGCTCAGGCGAGACCACTCTCGCTCAGGCGAGACCACTCTCGCTCAGGCGAGACCACTCTCGCTCAGGCGAGACCACTCTCGCTCAGGCGAGACCACTCTCGCTCAGGCGAGACCACTCTCGCTCAGGCGAGACCACTCTCGCTCAAGCGAGAATCCTATGAGGAAAATTTACATTTGTAGTGTATGTTTACTTTTTTATTACGTAAATGGTGTAACTTTTTTAAAATTTACGGGTGTAGATTTGGCTGAAATCGAAACCACGTTTTGTGGTCACCGTGGATAATATCCAGGATTTCTAATGGAAACCGTGACTGCCAAACACGAAACATTTTTGTGGGATTGTATCCACTAATCCCACAAAAATCGTGGACTCTATCCACTAATACCAACAAATCGTGGATTTAAATCCACGTTTTTTCTTCCATTCTACATTCGGGCAACATTAGAGATATCCTAAATATAATAGTGGTTGATTTGATCTAACGGTGGAAAGCGTGTAGTGGGGACACGTGGCATTTTGGATCCCGGGAAGGGAACACGCGTAGCCATCCCACATAGAAAGTACTAGTTCATGTACTGCCGCACTTGTAGAGCACACAGATGAGTAAGAATAGGAATATCACTCCCTCGTGTTCATTTAATTTACTAAAATCAAATACTTTTTATTTTATTTATTTTTGATGCTTAATTATACTAGATTTTAAGTATATAATATTTAATGATTTAATATTGGTGTAGATATTTTTACAGTACGCATAATAATTTCATTTTAACTATTTTTCATTAATATAAAAAAAAACAACCATTTCTCATTAACTATGATCTTAAAAAATAACCTTTGTTGATTCTGATGATAATAATTTTGAATTTGGTTACTCCCATCGTAGAAAAAACAATCTTCCGGCTATTACCATGGGTGAATTTTATAATTGCTTTGTCTGCTAAGGTGCTACCTGAAGAATCATACATATCAATTACCATGGGTGAATATGTGGAGAATGGAAGAAAAACGTCACGATTTGTTGATATTAGTGGATAGAGTCCATGATTTTTGTGGGATTAGTGGATGCAATCCACGGCATTCATGTTTCGTGTTTGGCAGCCACAGTTTCCATTAGAAATCGTGGATATTATCCACGGTAACCACAAAACGTGGTTTCAATGCACGATTTCAGCCAAATCTACACCAATCCCGTAAATTTTTAAAAAGTTAAACCATTTACGTAATAAAAAAGGCAACACTACAAATGTAAATTTTCCCTTAGTATGACACACGATACAACACTACTATTATAACTGACATTTTGGCACACAAGAAAAACAAAGAGGAGCAGTGGAAAGCATAAAACACAACTAAACTATGATGTGATAATTCACATTCAGTAGCCAATAAGCATTTAGTTTTGAAATGGTTGTAATTTGTAAATTAAAAAGAGCTGACCCTAACCTGAAGACGGGCAATTGCTTTGCGTTCAGGACCAGTGACACTTACTCCATCCTTGTCCGTTTTATCTTTAGAATCAGTCTTTTTAACTTCTCTAGTTTCAAAAATGTACCTGAAGTATATGATTAAACATACCACAATGTCAATCACTAATATTGTCAAACAAATGACCATGTAGTAGCTTGAAAGCCTTATGAATATATACCAGTGATGCCGGAAGAATATGAAGTCTCTCTGGTTGTGGAAGGTGACTACTCGTCGACCTTTAAATTCTGGATCTTGTGGGAAAAGTGACTGTATCAATCTGTTAAAAAAAGAAAATCAACAAATAAGGAGTTAAAATATAGGTTGGAGGTTGTTATAAAAATAATTACATAGAAACAACATGAAAATAAGAGATATTTATTACTTGAAAACGACAATCGCAACATAGGAAAAGTGGCCTTATATTCATCTTCTGCTTTTTCATAACAATTTCTCTTTAAAATAATTGACAATTAGTACAAAACTATTTCAATGATACCCTGCCTCTAAATATGACAAAATTCTACATTACTAGTATCATAGAATAGAATAAGAAAATGGTGACCTTCCAACTGGATGCCCTAGACGTGTTGTAAAATTATTCATTACAAGCTCAGGCTTGTGACTGGTTGGATTCCCATGATGCTGCGAGAGGGCACAAAATGCAGAAATAAAAATATTAAATAATTCATATTTCATTAACATAAAAAACAGCATTATTAATCTCGAAACAGAAAAAAAATGTACCCATCTCTTATTTTCTAACCTGGGTTGAATTGCAAATTGGAATTCATCTTATATTGGTAAAGTAACTAAACTATGCAGATTATTGTATGCCAGCATCAAGAAGACTGAATACCATTAAATTTATGAACAAAAAATATCATACCTTCAGATCCTTGCGTAACACAAGCTTTGAGAGCTTGAAATGAGCAGTAGGGCCATCAGGTACGCCGATGATTAAGAGTGCATTTGCAGTTCATAGGAGCAAAGAAATTAAAAACCTAGAAGCACATTTACACTGAAATCTGAAGGAAAAGGCCTAAAATCCAAGGTAGTTAAAATTGTGTCTCTACTCGTGAAATCGCACGGGTCTACGCGTTGAGCAGCCATAGCCGTGCTCGATTCCAGAAACGTGTTCTGGAGCACGTGAAATCGTGGAATCGTTGTGTTGAGACGTAGAATCGGTGAAATCATCGTGTCCTGCGATTCTACTTTGTGGCTTTTTGATTTGTTGGGCCTCGACCCGTTTCTGCAACCCAGGTCAATGAAACCCTAAAACAACCAGGTAAAGTTACTTTTCTTTCTCCATTCACGTCATTTACTCCCTTCCCCATTTATGTGTACTATTCATCTTCTCTCTTCCCCATACTTGTTCATCTTCTCCACTCACATTCATTGTTCACCTTCTCCATTCATTGTTCACATTCTCCTTCTCCATTCACTGTTTAACCAGAACCCCTTCACTGTTCACGTGTATTGTTTAACATTCAAAAGAACCCCTTCTCCATTCTCCTTCATCACGGGTACTATTTCAAGCACGTGTACTGTTCACGCACGTGTACTCATTCATTACTATTTCATTCTCCTTCTCCTTCATTACTATTTCAAGCACGTGTACTGTTCACGTTTCTCATTCTCCCTTCTCTGTTCTTTGTTTAACCTTGCACTTTGATAAATTACATTTAGAGATTTAACTACTTTAAAACCCCTTCCCCTCACAAAACACTTTTTTAACCAGTTAAGCCATTCTCCCTTCTCTATTTTTATTGCTAATTTAAGCAATAAGTAATTTAATATGTCTGGAGAATGTAATTCAAACTTCATTCCAATTTTTGGAGGCTCAAGTGATGCTCCTGAGTCTCAGAATAACTTTTGCTTCTAGAGTGCTACCCAAAAATGCACATGAGAATAAAAGTGACATAGCATGGAAGCATGAAATGAAATTACAGTTAATGGAACCAGAAAAATGCAATGCAAATACTATTAAAAGGTTGTAAGTAGAGGAGCATATATGTTGAAGCATCACCTGACCGGAACTAACAAGGATGTTAAACCTTGTATTGCTGTGAGTGATGAATTGAAGAAGGAAATATTATTGATTGTTGCTGGTTTACAGCAAAACTTGATTAACAAGTCAAATTGGTGAAAAAAGGAAAGAAAATGAAAATTTATTCAAAAGGGAGGGGATTAACACTCAAGTCACCATCGACAATATGTTTAAGAAGGGAATCAAAGAGGAAGCAAATCAAGTCATTGCAATGTGTTTTTACAACAATGTCATTCCATTAAATATGGCAAGGAGTGCTGAATACTTTGAAATGTTCGAATTGGTTGCGAAACATGGCCCAGGGTTCAAGCCTCCATCCTATTATGAAATTAGGGTCAAAAATTTGAAGGAAGAGGTTAAGTTTACCCATGCTCGGCTTGAAGAACACAAGGCTGAGTGGAAGAAAGTTGGGTGTACTATAATGACTGATGGTTGGACTGATAAGAGAATGAGGACAATCTTGAATTTCTTAGTACACAGTCCTAAAGGAACAGTTTTCTTGAAGTCTATTGATGCATCACACATTTCAAAAACTGCTGATATGATCTTTAAGATGATAGATGAAGTTGTTGAGGAGATTGGGGAAGATAAAGTTCAAGTTGTGACAGACAATGCATCTAATTACAAAGTTGCTGGAGAAATGTTGTTCAAGTTGTGACAGACAATGCATCTAATTACATAGATGAACGTTGTAATTTTTCTACCTTTATAAATTGTGTTTGCATGAATGAGAATTTTCTTCTCAAACTCCTCCAACATTAAGTCAATACAATGAGCAGCACAAGCTGTCCAATAAAGTTTTTTCCTCTTCTCCATCAACATTTCTCCAGCAGCTTTGTAATTGGATGCATTGTCTGTCACAACTTGAACAACATTATCTTCCCCAATCTCCTCAACAACTTCATCTATCATCTTAAAGATCCTATCAACAGTTTTTGCAATGTGTGATGCATCAATAGACTTCAAGAAAATTGTTCCATTGGGACTGTGCACTAAAAAATTCAAAATTGTCATCTTTCTCTTGTCAGTCCAACCATCGGTCATTATAGTACACCCAACTTTCTTCTACTCAGACTTGTGTTCTTCAAGCCGAGCATTGATAAACTTAACCTCTTCCTTCAAATATTTGACCCTAATTTCACGATAGGATGGAGACTTGAACCCTGGGCCATGTTTCGCAACCAATTCGAACATTTCAAAGTATTCATCACTCATTGCCACATTGAATGGAATGATATTGTTGTAAAAACACCTTGCAATGGCTTGATTTGCTTCCTCTTTGATTCCCTTCTTAAACATATTGTTGATGGTGACTTGAGTGTTAATCTCCCTCCTTTTGAATAAGTTTTCATTTTCTTTCCTTTTTTCACCAACTTTAGGTTGTTCCTCCTCACTCAAAAAAGAATTTGACTTGTTAATCGATGTTTTGTTGTAAACCAGCAACAATCAATAACATTTACTTCTTCAATTCATCACTCACAGCAATACAAGGTTCAACATCCTTGTTAGTTCCAGCTAGGTGATGCTTCAACCTATATGCTCCTCCACTTACAACCTTTTGACAGTATTTGAATTGTATTTTTATGGTTCCATTAACTGCAATTCCATGCTTCCATGCTATGTCACTTCTATTCTCACGTGCATTTTTGGGTAGCACTCTAAAAGCAGAAGAGTTACTCTGAGACTCAGGAGCATCACTTGAGCCTCCAACAATTGGAATGGAGTTTGAATTACCTTCTCCAAACATATTAAATTACTTATTGTTTAAATTAGCAATAAAAATAGAGAAGGGAGAATGGCTTAAGTGGTTAAACAAAGTGTTCTGTGAAGGAAAGGGGTTTTAAACTAGTTAAATCTCTAAATGTAATCGAGCATGG